TACTAATTCATTTCTCCCAACAATATATCTTTATATGCTCCTTGCATCTCTGAAAGCCTTAAAACTCCTGAGATGGTTTTCTCCCCAGGGATTGCCTGAGGAATTTGAGGAATCTTTTTCTCTCTTATGGAAGATTTTATTCATGCTTAGAATAGAGAAAAAGTTAGGAAGATTGCCAGAAGGAGTAGAAAACATGTAAGCTGTTTTCTCTAACTTGACTGAAGTACCACAGTTAGAGCAATAAAATGACCCAGGGCATCTCTCCCTTCCGAAGGATTCACTGTTTATGCCACCTGGTCTTTTTTCCTCCTTGTGTGTGAAGTTCCTCTTCATCTACATGAACAATCCCAAGGGTATCTCCAGACCAGAAATCCACTGAGAAGCCTAGGATAAGAACAGCCACCAGAATGAAGATTTAAAAACAAAGCAGAAGCCAGACGAAGTGGTGTATCCCTGCAATCCCAGCAACTCAGGAGGCTGAGGCAGGAGGATTGCAAATTGGAGTCAGTCAGCAAATTAGTGAGGCCTAAAGCAAATGAGCAAGACCCTGTCTCAAAATAAAAAATGAAAAGAGCTAGGGATGTAGCTCAGTGGTAAAGGATCCCTAGTACCAAAAAAAAAAAAAAAAAAAAAAAAAAAGAAAGAAAGAAAGAAAGAAAAGAAAAAAGAGCTAGTTTCCTATCTAGACTTCAGTATTCAGAATATTTTAAATGTTTGCTTAATCCTAGTATGAAGTGGGCAAAATGGATGATAGCCTCACAGCTTATATTCTTAAATTTAAAAAGTAAATAAAAAATAAAGCAGCTAAGGAATTTATATATACATATATATTCTTATGTCCACATCTATTCTCATATCCATATAAAACATATATGTACATATATACACACATATAAACATACACAAATTCTTATATCCATATATACACATATGTATCTATATATAAATGTGTATATATGGATATAAGAATTTGTGTATGTATATATGTGTGTATATATATATATATATTTAGACTCCAGATTTGTTAAATTTCTGCCTGCTTTGAAATGATTATGAAATATTTCAACCAATAAACCAAATATTATTATTTTATCTCTATAACACAAATATCTTGTGTTACTTTTGGAGTACTTGTATAATGGCCTGAATGTTCTAGATTTAATATATTTTACATAATTTTGTGCTCCATCTTAGCAGCGTAGAAGGTAAAGTCATTAAAAAATTGTGTAACAAGCTGGGTGCGGTGGCTCACACCCATAATCCCAGCCACTCTGGAGGCTGAGGCAGGAGGATGGTGAGTTCAAAGCCAGCAACAGTGAGGCACTAAGCAATTTAGTGAGACTCTGTCTCTAAATAAAATACAAAATAGGGCTGGGGATGTGGCTCAGTGGTCGAGTGCCCCTGGGTTCAATCCTTGGTACAAAAAAAAAGAAGAAGGAGGAGGAGGAGGAGGAGGAGGAGGAGGAAATTGTGTAACAAAAGGACTTCCTTCTTGTTTTTCCATATCTACCAATTGAAAAGATACTAGGAGGGGCTGGGGGTATAGGTAAGGGCCAAAGTAGCATGCCCAATGCAGGAAGCCATCTGTGAAATACATGAGGACCTTCTCTAGGCATGGGAGCTAGGGAGGGATAGGCCTGGCATAGGGAACTTTCTGTGGCTCTCCTGTGGCAATAGATTGCCCAATGCATGTGACCTTCCCCTCCACTCTGCTAGAAAGGTCTTTCATAGTACGTAGTACTAGAGATGGGCATATCCTATTAGGAACTGAACAGTCCACCTTTATATTATTTTGGTGAAGAATAGTCTAATACAGAAGGCCTTTGATGTTTTCCGATAGGCTGGGCTCCATCTTGTTCCAGAAGCTCCATCCATCTGATCAGCTTGCTGGTTCTGCCCCCGTTTTTGAAACTACTTTCTGTGTCCTGTGTTTTTTTTTTTTTTTTCCTGTGTTTTATTTCTCTTAGCTTTTATTTCTCAGCCAGCCCATTCCACCAAGGGGAACCCCATTTCCACCATCCGCGGGGGATGTGGGCAGGACCCAGGGCCCTAGGTTCAAATCCCAGCAACATACACACACCTTGAAAAGACAACAGACTTTTTCCAGGCAATGAAAGTCTATTTTAGGGAGAAGAAAAAAAGGTCGACTTCCAGTTTAACCCTAGGAATGACATATTATTTTTAACCTTGTTTAATATGCCTTCTCTTCTAGTGGTTCGTAAGCCATATAATTTCTTGAAGGTAGTTGGGAACTGGATGGAGTGTTGGGTCTAGTCTTCAAAAGCCAATACATTTTAATTTTTATTTTATAACCAAGTAATAAACCAATTACATATATATTTTATGTCCACACAATGTATACATTTCACTTCAAAATGAAATTGTGTTAGGCTCTTCAAGTGTGTTTGGAGAAAGCTTGGGCTATGGAGACCATTTGGGGGCACTTGCTACCTGCTCCTCAGTTGACTTGCCCCTTATATGTTACCATTGCTAGCAACCAGGATGGGTTTACCATTTGGTAGGGTGCCATTACTTTCATTCCCCTCCATATATTGTTCCATTTATACATTTTGTATCTGTTGTTTTAAAGACAACAAGCAAAAAGAATAGGAATATTTAGAAACAAATTAATGAGTTTTAAAATAACAATAATTCCAGAACTCCACCTCAAGATACTCTTTACTAGATCCATAAGTTACATTTATCTGATCAAAATTTAAAATGTATGACAAAAAATTTAAAAAAAAATTGGGGGCTGGGTTGTGGCTCAGTGGTAGAGCAATGGGCTCAATCCTCAGTATCACAAAAAAATAAATACATAAATAAACATAGAGGTCTACAACTAAAAAAAATTTTTTAAATGTAGCTCTTCTATACTAATTGACTTTTTAAAAAATGTGTAACAAAGACCTATTGTTCAAGAGGGTAAAGAAAAACCTGCTTGTAAAGCTTAGTCTGATATCTTTCTTTTTTTCATGAAATTATGAGAATAAGCCAGTTGATTAAGTTCAAAGGGTACGTCATGAAACCAGATTTTGCCTATTGTGACATAAGATAAATTTCAGTTTTCTTTGAAAATATAGTCTCTCCCCAAACCAAATACAAGATAAGACTTTTTATTAAACTTGATTGTCGAAAAACCTGCCACCTTCTGCACAATCAGTAAAAGTAAATTAAACAGTGTATATTTATAGTCGGATGGAAAAAGTAACAATCTGTCATATGAAGTAAATGTATATGCAGTAGAGACAACATTTTATATGAACTTGATAATAAGTCTTTCATAATACAACAATCCATAATAAAATGTTTTACTTAAATTTCCTTGTTCATGGTGCCCCACAAAAATTACAAATTTATGTGTTATGGTGAATGGGATTTGGAGTAGAAAAAAATTGAGAAGTATTGGGCCATGAAGATAATTGCTATAATCAGTCACCTGAATCATTTTTAACACACAAAAGACATAAAAATGTGCACATGGGGTTGGGGATGTGGCTCCATGGTAGAGCGCTTGCCTCGCATCTGAGAGGCCCTGGGCTGGGTCCTAAGCACCTGCAACAAACAAACAAACAAAAATGTACATTCATTATTAGCAAAATAAATCTCACTCCTTCTTGTCCCTCAGGAATAATCTTTCAGTTTGATAATGGAGGAAGGAAAATTTATATTTCGCCCTATTTAATCTTTTTGAAGATGCACATTTTCTGTTAAATTGGGATGCATCTCACCAATAGTAGCATCTTCAATAGAAGTCAGCCAGCTGCAGCTGTGACTGTAGTTACAATTGCAGAATGAACATCAAATAAGCCAGCATCAAAACTTGCAGAATGGGTATCACTGACTTGGGAGGAAAACTTACAAATAAAGAGCCTTAAAAAAAAAAAAACTGTATGAGCCAAATGATGTGGAGAAGGAGTGAGTTGAACATGTTTAGCAACATTCTTTAAGCAGGAGTCAAAAGTAAGCTAACTATGTAATTGCAAAACCACTTTAGAAGCCCAGAACCAATGACTTAGTTCTTTTATAACTTATTTTAAGAAATGCTGCATCATCAACCTCTTAATACAGGGGATGATACTGTGAGTAAATACAGACAGATATTGAGGAGTCTGAGTCAAATGCTAAATGTGAATAAGTTTTAGGAACCAATTTATTTTGTTAATGTTCCTTTTCTTCTTGCATGTGTATGATAAAATAATCTAATTAAATTTATAACATTCCTTTCAATAAGTACAAAATAAACGTTCTGACCATGTCATAGTTTAACTTGCAAGGGGTGTGTGTGTTGTGTGTGTGTGTGTGTTTTAAGGGGTTGAAATCTTTTAAATTATTAAAAAATCTTAATCGACATGGAATAGTTGTACATACTTATGGAATAACTTGCAGGAGTTTTTAAACTATCTTAATGAAGTACACCATAGTGAGGTCTTTTTTGGGGGTTGGGTGGGTACTGGGGATTGAACCCAAGAGCACTTAAACAGAGCCAAATCTCAACCATTTTTTATTTTTTATTTTGAGACAGGGTTGCACTGAGTTGTTTAGGGCCTCACTAATTTCCTGAGGCTGACTTTGAACTTGCAATCCTCCTGCCTCAGCCTCCTGAGCCGCTGGGATTACAGATGTGCACTGCTGCTCCTAGTGATGTCTTTTTACAATGACAGCATCTTAGATTCAGTGGAAAGGACTATACAATTTGTGAATTCAGTACTTTCCCCTCTTCTCATAAAATGGATCACTAATAAGCTTGAATGACCCAAGATGTTTGATGATTACATAGTGTTCCTTACTGCTGCTGGCTTAGTTGCATCTTAACAAAAAGCTGCATGTTGTTCTCACTTTCATTTGACGTGGGGACTTCTCTCCCAACCCCCGCAAGACTTTTAATAGCATATGGCCCCTATTTAGTAGTCTCCAAAGTATTCCTCAGAAGTTGACACTCTAATAATTCAGTTTTGCATGTGTGGTTTCCCTGAAAATGTGTTGTTTTCCTTTGCTAGGGGTGCAGGCTGCATCTTTATTGAAATGTTCCAGGGTCAACCTTTGTTTCCTGGGGTTTCCAACATCCTTGAACAGCTGGAGAAGATCTGGGAGGTAAGAAAATAATTCCTCTTAAGGAAAAAGAAATATCCACATTTCAAACCTTGAACTAAATTTGCTTTAGAGACAAACGGAGCAGTCCGTCTGAGTCATGTATTAAGATTATAGAAACTGTGGTATTTGCTACAGGGATAAGCACCTTAGAGATGAGTGTTTAGGAAAACCCCTGCTGCTCCATAGCAGCCCATGAAGCCACCCCACCAATGACATAGGTCTCCTGATTCCTATTTTTATTATGGTCTCAACCTCCTGGGGCAATTTCTGCTATTACTACTTAAGCACTTCTCTGCCTTCTCACCTCCGACTATTTCCACCATGTATTTGGCCCTGGATGTTTCTCAGTTGAATGACAGACTGTCATGGAACCCTCATCAAACAGAGAATTCCTTGACTTCACTTGTCAGTATGAGATACGTATTCTCTTTATCATGCTCCTCAACAACCAGATTCCTAAGATGTCTAGGTGCCCGTGTAGTGTAGTTCCATTCCTTTATATTATTTATCTCTACCTTCTTTGGTACTACGATGTGGTTGGTTTTTATGTCCCTTACATAGTAGTATTTCAGTCATACTATAGTCACCTGTATGTTTCTCTTTTGATGATTTCTTTTATTGTGACAAAAAACATTAAATTTGTCAGGTTGGTCAATGAGAACTAAGTTACTGTTAGGATAGGATAAATAAGTTCTGGTGTTCTATTGCACAAAAAAGCTAGAATAAAGAATTTTGAATGTTTTCATCACAAGGAAATGTTTTTGGTTTTGGGTTTTTTTTTTTTGGGGGGGGGGATTCTTGTTTGTTTGTTTTGTTTTGGGCCCTGGAGATTTAACCCATGGGCATTTTACCACTGAGCTATATTCCCAGCCCTTTTAATTTTTTATTTTGAGATAGGGTTCCACTAAGTTGCAGAGAGCCTCACTAAATTGCTAAGGCTGGCCTCAAACTTGAGAGTCTTCTGCCTCAGCCTCCCAAGTCACTAGGATTACAGGCATGCATCACTGTACCTGGCTTAGAAATGATAAATGTTTAAAAACATATATATGTTCATCCTGATATTAACATTACACAATATACAAATGTGTTGACACATCACACAGTACACTATAAATCTGTACAAATTTTATGTGTCAATTAAAATGCAACGAAGTGAAAGCTTTTACCAATTTCATCATTTTTAACTGTACAGTTCATGCAGTAAGTTCATTCCCATTGAATGCCATCGGTGACATCATTTCCAGCGCCATTGCATCATCCTAAACAGGCTCTGCAACTATCAAACAATAACTCCCCATCTACCCAACCCCCCAGGCCCAGGTAACCTCTAATCTACTTTCTGTCTCTATGAATTTGTTTATTCTAGGTACCTCATGTCAGTAAAATCGAGTAACATTTGTCTTTCTGTATCTGGCTTATTTCATTTAGCATAGTATTTTCAAAGTTCATTCATGCCGTAGACAATGTCAGGTACTTTACACTGGGGCTTTTATCACTTGCAATTCTGGATCCTGCTCCTTGTCTTCTGGCCAAGATAAAATGTACTTTGGGAAATTAGCACATTATATAGCAATTAATCACTGACTTATATTTTCTTTTGGAACCAGAGCGGCTTTTATGAAGAAACCTGGGACAAATTGGAAAGCATTCATAAACTAAAAGAACATTTTTCAGACCAAAAAGACTTAGAACTTTTTCCTAGCAAAACAGATAAAATGCTACTTTAAAATAACATTGTTAGATGGTTGTAACCATCTAAACTGGAGACAGGCTAATGAAATGGCTTTGGAATCAGAGAACCTGGATCTTCCTGAATTCTAGCCACTTTCTAGCTATGAATGTGGGAATGTTATGTAATATCTCTGAACTTCATGACTTTCTAATCTTGCTGTGAGAATTCCATAAGATCAAATGCATAACAAACTCAGTATGCCATAAGTGCTTGACAAATATTTGCTTTCTTCCTTTCTCATATAAATTGTTACAGAGATGTTTCAGTAACCCAGTTGCTAGTGAATGTTATCTGATATTTAACTTATTTGGTCGATTCTTCCACTTAGCATTATTACTTCTTATCCACAATAGAAAAAGCACAATTAGCACTGCCTAAACTTTTTTTTAATTTTTTAATATTTATTTTTTTAATATTTATTTTTTAGTTTTCGGCAGACACAACATCTTTGTTTGTATGTGGTGCTGAGGATCGAACCCGGGCCGCACGCATGCCAGGCGAGCGCGCTACCGCTTGAGCCACATCCCCAGCCCCACACTGCCTAAATTTTACCCTGCAAGAACCCTTTACACATTCAAAGAATTTTTCCCAGCTGTTTGATACCTATTGAACATTCACCATATATAAATTCTTTTCAAGGACTTATAGGAAGCAGCAAGTCATGGAAAAAAAGAGAATAAGAAATATTCGTGATTATGTTTTCAAGAGTTGTTCGGTCTAGGTGGGATGATGGGTAGAGTCCAAGTAAATACATATAGAACAAACAAATGTGTATATATGGAAAGGATATATGTATAGTTAAGATAAATTTTAATATTGAAAAGAGATGTAATATTCAGAGATTTGAAAAGTAGCATATTTTAAAAGAATATATCCTTATATGCTATAAGTATTTAAAGAGTGGTGTATAAACTGACTTTTTAAAAATCACACACTATTTAAATTACCATGCATTTAAAAAGCAATCATTTTATACTTCTTTGCATTTAGCATAGCACTTAGAAATCATGAACAGAAAGAGTAGACTAGATGTTTCCCAGGACCTGATGACACTCTAGCTATTAGTTCAAGTGTTTAGGCCTGGCCTTGGTAAGTGACACTGGGTGCCTGAAGGATGTGTCAGGTAATTCAATAAGTGAAAGATGCTGGACTTGAATCTGGATGTAAAGTACCAAAAAAGAGTGAGGCCACAGAATCCAACAGGACCTGTCCCAGAAGCCATGTTCATGTCTACTGTTACTTTTACCACATTGCAGTGAGTGAAAGGGTCTTTATTTTGACATTTATGACAACCCACTACAAATTTAAAACAAGTGGACATATTTGAAATAACACTGGCCTGAAGTCAGGACTCAGGAGTCGTGAACACAACTCCAACTTCAGGCACGAAGTAGAGCAAGTGTGTATCCAACACCCCTGGCTCCAGGCCTCAGAGTCTTCAATTGTATTTGATTCTCTGACTCTGACTTTAGTAACCAAAGTGCAAAGAGAACACTGTAGCTCCTATGAATTTTAATCACAATATTCTCTGTTCATTAAATTTTCCCCTCAGTTTTTTTCTCAAGTTTATGTAATTGCATTGTTCACTGTTGACTTTCAACCTGTGCTTCCAGAAGATAGTTCTATATTGTGTAGCTGTGGATTATGGGCACTAGGAGGTCAGAGTCATGAAAGCTCATTTTCTCATTGTCCTCTCCAAGCAGTTTTGTTATTACATCTGTAGTTCCATACTTTGAGGAAAAATGTGAATATCATGAGTTAGCAGGTTTGCTGTCTTTTGTATCACTGTACCTCATCTGGTTAATCTCAAGCAGATTAGAATTATTTTTTTCCCCAGTGCAGTGCCTGGCCTCTGGTAAGTGCAAAGTTAATAATCATATTATTATTGATAATAATACTTGTATTCCACTTTGGTCTCCATATGTAAAATCTGATTGTAACTAGTATGTATTGCTTTAGAAGCAATAGGGCCATCAGGGAAGTGAGTGTCTGGAGGAAAAGTGAGGAAAGAACATCTACAAAGGGAGCATATAACTGTGGATTCCAGTTTTTCATTTTTACAGTTGAGGAAATAATGTCCCAGAGTAGTTTCAACATAGACAAGTTTGCACAGATAAAGTCACAGCAAAAAGGCCATAGAGAGAAAAAGACCCTGTTGAATATTGTTTGAAGCCACTAACATTACATTTGATGACATCACAATATCTATAAGCTTATCCATATGGCTCTACTATACCTCTAAGTATAGTGGATATGTGCTTTGGGTCTGGATCGATTTCTTTCTTTTTGATTGATAAATTAAAAGTGTGTTTATTTATCATATACAACATAGTATGTTTCTTGGGATTTTTTTTGTTGTTTTGTTTTGTCATGCTGGGGATCAAATCCAGGACCTTATGCGTACTAGGCAATTGTTCTACCACTGAGCTACACCCTAGAGCCAGTATGATGTTTTTTTTTAAAGACGTTTTGGAACTAGGTACTGTGGTGCACAACTGTAACCCCAGTAACTTGGGAGGCTAAGGCAGGAGGATCACAAGTTTGGAGGCCAGTCTCAGCAATTTAGTGAGACACTGTCTCAAAACAAAACAAAGCCGGATGTCATGGCGCAAGCTTATAATCCCAACAGTTTGGGGCAGGAAGATCGTGAGTTCAGAGCCAGCCTCAGCAAAAGCGAGGTACTAAGCAACTCATTGAGACCCTTTCTCTAAATAAAATACAGAATAGGGCTGGGGATGTAGCTCAGTGGTTGAGTGTCCCTGAATTCAATCCCCAGTACTAAATAAATAAATAAATAAATAAATAAATAAATAAATAAATCAAAAAGGATTGGAGGTGTGGCCCAGTGGTAGAAGACTTCTGGGTTCAGTTCTTCATGCCACACAAAAAAAAATAATTAAAAATCAAATAAAATACATATTGGAGTGGCTAAATTGAGCCAATTAAAATATGCATCACCTCACATACTTTGTGTGTGTATGTATGTGTGTGTAAGTGTATTGAGAATACTTAAAATCTACTCCATGATATTCAAGAATACAATACATTAACTATAATCACCATGTTGTATTATGATATATAATACAATAATATAATATAATTTATAATTATATAAATATAATCAATATGTTGTATATTTCTTAACCTTTTTCATATCTAATTGAAATTTTGTATCCTTCAACCAACATCTGCCCAACTCCCAGCTCTAGTCCCTGGTCACCATTAGTCTAGTCTACTGCCTTGAGTTGACCTTCTTTAGATTCCACATACGAAGATATCACAAGGCATTTGTATTTCTGTGCCTGGCTTATTTTACTTAACATGTCTTACAGCTTTATATACATTGCTGCAGATGACAGGATTTCCTTCTTTTTTCCAAACATCCCCTACCAGATGCATGGTTTGTAAATATTTTCTACCATTCTATAGTTTGTCTCTTGATTATTGTTCTGTTTTCTGTGCAGAAGCTTTTTAGTTTTATGTAATCTCATTTGTCTGTTTTCACCTTTGTTGCCTGAGAAATAGGCTAGAAAATTAAACAGATTACAAATAGTTCCTGAATTTGTGTTTTACTAAATGTGGTCTTCACAGATAAAAATAGGAAAACTATTTGAGGTTCTATGATATTTGATGTAGGAATTGCTTCTTTGAAATCAATGGGCCCATTCTAAATTTCCCAACCTCTAACCACATTTTTCTCTACAGTTAGATCTCAGTCTTAGCAATAAAGACAAAATGAGAAGTTCTGAATATTTATTTTAACATCTTTTGGTCTGTGGGTGTGTGTGCATGTACATGTGATGTATTTACATCTAAAGTCATAGCTGCCAATATTTTCTGAAGTGTTTTTAAAATATATTCTTAAAGTGTTTTTGCAAGCAATCATGTATTCAGTCCTAAAATCAGAATAAACTTTCAGAATAAACTATGCAAACTTTAAATCCATTTATCAAAATGCCTTTAGTTTTCATTCCAACGAAGGCAAATAAACAGCTCCTCCGACCACTGTGTTTAAAACCTAGAACTTTCTGCCTTACAAGAGCCCATGGCAAGAGAGAAAATCAGCAATTTTTTGAGTTTCAGTTTCCCAGAAAATGAAGATGAAATTTAGTAACTTTCTCAAGTGAAAAAGAATTCTCTAACTTTCAAATGGAAACTGAGCATCAAATTTCCAAATAAAGTATATTGAATATTTTGGTTTACACTTCTAAAATCTTAAGCTTAAAGCTTTTAGCTCAAAAGAGTTTCCAAAAACTTTGGTATCTGTTTCATTGGCACGAAATGCAACACTAAGTAACCGACAAGTCTGGTGATACCTAGAGAAGATATGAACGTGGTTGTTATTTTGTTTGTATTGTTTTCTCTCTTGATCTTTGCTTTCTTTTCCTCGTGTTTTGCCACCCATCAGAAGATGAATGGGTGCACACGAATCACACCCACTCATTTATACTTGCATCCCGGCAAATACATATGATGGTAGGTTAAGAAAGAAGAATTAGCTTCCCGTCCTCTGGCCTTTTCCTACAAAAGAAGAATTAATCCAGTTGGTTTTTCAAAATGGATTCTAGGATTCTGAGTGTTCCCTCAGGCTCAGGGTGGTTGATAGGAAAAGCCTATAATCCCCTCAGTTGCTTTTCAGTTTGTTTAGAGAATGGATAAAGCAGGAAGATTTTGCTGGGTGGCATGATTTTTTTTTTTTTTAATATATGAGGGAAAATAGCACTTCAGTATCTTTTGTTTAAGGACAAGCTTAAAAGGCTGGAAAAGTAGACCTCTCAGCCAGAGTCCTAGTCAGCAAACTGATAGGTTTGAGATTCTGGATTCCTTATTGATAATACTGCTGGTGTTGGGCAATTAACTTCTTGTCATAAAAATTGCGCCAGCATCTTTATTCACTTGGATCCTCCAGACTGTCTCTGCAAGATGCTTCTCAAGAGTAATCCTGAGGTATGCATCTATGAAGAGTTGTGCTATAGCAGTGTATTGGAAGCTACAAGTGCTTTACTAGTATTTCACAAAAACAGTGTAATTCAGATTCCCAGATATAACTGGCTATGGGCTTTCATGATCATCTTAAAAGAATGGGAAGAGGAATCCTATAGGGGAACTTTCCAGGACAGCACCATCCAAAATCTATTTTGGCTTTGTGTTCCAAACAACTTTTATTTTCATACAGCATCTTAATTTAGAATCAAGACCTTTGATTTGGTCATGTAAAGCATAGGCTAGCTCTTTTTCAAGTGATGCTACCATTATAGTTCACTAGTGAAAAAACCAAATGCTATATTCTAGGCTGCTGGATACAAAGAAAACAACCCATGAGATGAATTTGGTAGAAAGGACTGGAGTTAGGTTAGGGGTCATTTTTAGCCAACATTCCACTGCCTAAAGGTCAGTAATCTGAATCCTTTTTAATCTGAGCACGTTGGGAACAGCTGAATGCCTATGCTGAGGCATGATTTAAGCTGTCAAATGTCCTCTGTCAGTATGCTTATGGTAACGTGATGTAAGGCAAAGGGACAGTCACTCCGGCTTGTTTATACCCCATCTGCTAAAATGACCTCCTCATGCATGGTGTTCATGCAATAAATATTTGCAGATGAGGATGACTTTAAGCAAGGCCATATGATCTGCCTCAGAATATCAAGTCAATTAGCAAAGACACACAGACCATAGGCATGTACTAGACTTTGCCCAATGTTAGAAATACTACAGTTTCTCTTATATATTAGCTGGTGTAATGTGACATAATCAAATTTTCCCCACTCCTCCCTGATCTGTCCTTCTTATCTTTGTACCTGCTTCATCTTTCTGGTCTTCCCATTGACCTTTATTTGTCTTTTTCTGTCTTTATATAGGTGTTGGGAGTCCCTACAGAGGACACTTGGCCTGGAGTCACCAAGCTACCTAACTACAATCCAGGTAACATCAATCCAAACTTCTGAATGTTTGGAATTAGCAATGTCAGGAGAGCATTGGCCACACAGAGTGTCTGCTTTGCATTGTGAAATTAACTTAAAAGATGGAGTTCAATTCATCTATTTCCTGATTCTTTTATGAGAAAGACATTGAAATAGTAGTTAATGTTAGATTGGTTTCCCCAACTCTGTAAAACACAAGTAGCAAACTGAAACATAATCTGGAATTACTAATACTATGGATTCCTCATTCATTTCCAACTGCCCGATGGCAAAAATAAAAAATTAAAATTAAAAACCCCCCAAACTCAAAATATGATCTCACTTTTAAGTACCCCCCCCACACACTGTCATTGAGTTACAGTGGTGTTCTCATCTTTTCCCACCCTGTCCCTACTTCTTCCTGTCCACTCTCCTCTCCATCTGGATGAAAGTGGGACCCCTAACTTTCCTCGGCTTTCTAACATGTATGCAAACAGAAGTTTGGAGTCACAGAAAACATTGTGCATGAGGTCCAAACAAAGCTGCTGTGGTAAACACATGTGCTGTTCCCCCAAACTTCAAACATTTAGGTTTCAGGTTGTCCAGGCAACAAATAGAGACCCTTAATACTGAATGTCTTGATGAGAATAACAATGCTAGAAACTTGGCCAAAAATGCCTTCCTGCCAGAGTCTATGCTAAATAAGAAATCTGTGCTATAATAAAACAGAAGTGAGTTGCATTTTACTGTCATATCAAAGTAATGTGCATTTTTTTTCAAAGAAAACTCTCAAGGTTTAACACTAGGAGGGTTCATACTTTGCATTGTTTTTAGTAGGAGTTCAACTTAATTCAAGTAAGTCAAAAATTTTTGAGTACTATCTGTTAGGCATTAGCAGAGGTGCTGAGGCTGTGGGGATGAATACAGTGTGTTTTTGGATCTCTGAAGCTTAGGTTGAATTCATTCATCCACACTCTTGCACTGGTCCTCCTTAGCAGGGTGCCTATTTGTGAGAGCTGCTCCCTTGGGCTTGGGAAGCTTGTGGCTTTGAGCCTGGCTGAGTTTATAGAAGGAAGGGAGCCAAAACCTTAGCCAGAGCCAAGATGTCTAATCCTGCCTTTGCAAATCTTAAGAGTTCATCCTATCTTAGGCATGGGGTCAGTACTATTAATAACTCAATCATAAGGAATATGTTTTTAAAAGGTCATCAGGATCTGTGTTCCAGGAACATCCCTTCATGTGACTCAGAAAGTCCCTTTTGAGTCACCCCCATCCCTAGCCCTGAGATGCTGCTTCTGCTTCCATACACATGAACTCCAGCAATTAAAGGGCAACTGAAGGGGAGATGGGAGTCAGGAAAAGTGTCAGTTGGAACAATGTTTACACCATTCTGGACACAATTTCCACACCTTTCCCTTTCATTCCACATAAGTAAGAACACCGAAACTTTGAACTCAATCAGCACAATTTTCTAAGTATTTTTTTTAATTTTTAATTAACACAGTAATTATATATATTTATGGGGTGTAAAGTGATATTTCAATATGTGCATACAAGGTGTAATGATCAAATCAGGGTAATTGACATATCCATGACTTCAAACATTTAATCTCTTTTTGTGGGGGGAATAGTAAAAAATCCTCTTTTCTGGCTTTTTTGAAATATCTAGGTAATTGTTGCCAACCATAGTTATCCTACTGTGCCATAAAACATTGGAAGCTATTCCTCCTATCCAACTGTACCTCTTTACCCATTGACCATCCTCTCTCCCTTCATCATACCATTTCCCAGGTTCTGGAAACCATTATTCTATTCTCTACTTCTTTGAGATCAACTTTTTAGCTTCCACATAAAACATGAAACGTGTTATTTGCCTTTTTGTGCCTGACTTACTTCACTTAATCCATATTGTTACATCCATATTGCTGCAAATGACAAAATCTCATTTCTTTTATGGCTGAATAGGATTCTATGATGTATACATACTACATTTTCCCCCATTCACTTGTCAATGGACACCTAGGTTGATTCCATATCTTGGCTATTGTGAATAATGCTGCATTAAACATGCAAGTGCAGATGTTTCTTTGACATTACCAAATTTAATTCCTGTATATACCCAGTAGCAGGATGGCTGGATTGTATGGTAATTCTATTTCTAGTTTTTTGAGGAAACTCCGTACTGTTTTCTATCATGGCTCTATTAATTTACATTCCCACCAATAGTGTGTAAGAGCTACCCACCCTGCTCCACATCCTTCCCAGTACTGGCTATTTTTTGTCTTTTTGAAAATAGCCATTCTAACTGGATTTAGGTGATATTGTGGTTTTGATTTGCATCTCTGATGATTAGCAATGTTGATCATTTTTCAGGTACTTGTTGGCCATTTGTAAGTCTTAAGATATATCTAAGCAGGTCATTTGCCCATTTTTAATTGGATTATTTATTTTTGTGCTGTAGAGTTGTCTGAGTTCCTTATATATTCTTTAGCCAATGCAATTTTGAGAGAATTCAGTTGCTCTGAACTTGGGAGAACTATCCAGGGTCCATCCACGTCCACTCTTCCATTTCTCTGCTGTCTGGGCTCTGTCTAGGAGGACAACACAGTTTCTGTTTGTACAGTTTTGAAAACTCACCTGGTGCTGACTCAGCTTTAAGATATCTCTGCTGTTACCTGTTTTCTTGGATCTCTGATCAGCAGGGTGGTAAGCTTTCTAGCTACAATGTAAACTCTTTTGCCTGATTAAATCTGGCAAGGTGAAAGGGGTGTATTATTTTAGAGTCTGGCTCCTTCCTTCTTCCTTTCTTCCTTCCTTCCTTTCTCTCCTTCTCACCCACTCCCCATTTAAGTAAGCTGGCTGAGAACTCTGTGTCCTCCACTTCAAAGGGCCAGTTGTCTTATTTTGATGTGGGCAGATTGAGAAGTAGGCTTTGAAAAGTAGGCCTTTTTTTGTTTAATCTTTTCTCCTGGGATAGCTTTCAGAGCAATATATCCAAGTGTCAGTGAGGGGGTTCTGACGAGCCCGGATTCCCAGACGCTCAGCGGGATCATTCTCTAACAGAAATATAAAAGTGAAATATTAAAAACCCTGGAACGTGAACTCCATCTGCAGAGTAGCCGGTGTCTTGCCTGCTTGCACCATGGGAAAAAAAAGATCTTGAAAAAAGAGGGAGGAGAAAAAAAGTGCTTTGAGTACGAGGTTTACAGGTTTAGTAGAGCATAGTAACATCCCCTCAAAGAAGTGGGTGTTGCTCTTGACCCCCCAAAATGCTCCTCCTTTGACTCAGCCGCCAGAACACTCCCCCTCCCCCACAACACACCCCCTTTTCACATGCTAACTGAGGTGTCCGTGATTGGCTGAACAATAAACTGGTCACACTTGCTAAAGGGCTGCCATCTTTCACACAATTAGTCAAGACACATTAATCAAACTGGCTGGGGAACTGGGGCTGCGCTGGCCTCCTGCAGTGGGGGAAGGGAGAAATTTTGGTGATCCTGCCTAAGAGACCCTGGGTAGCAAAAATAAAGACGTGAACGCTGGAGGGGATTCTACTCTCAGAGAATTAGAAAAAGTTAAAGGCCCAGTTGATGCCTTATCTGGGATGTGGTTGGTTTGTGGCTCAGAAGATCCCAGAAGCTTAGAGTAAACTGGATATTCATGTTGGCTAAAATCTGTTCATATAGTGGTGTGGATTTGAACAGTGAACCCCTCTAAACAACTCTGCAAACTTCCTTCAACCATCTTAGCTTCCCTTTCCACACCCACTCAGGTCACACCCGCCTTGAGCCTAGAGCACTAGACAGAGGACATGCCAATCCACACAGCAGAGGTTTCACTATTGTGGGGACAAATAGGAATAAAACAGCCAGCCATTTAGAACCAGTTAAGACAAGGCATCAACTGGGAAGTTGTTGGTCTTAAACTAAGTATTTGAAAAACATTGAAAATAGCCAGTTCTGAGAGAAAAAGTTCAAACGTTTGTACTTTTCATCATGATATTTTCTGATTTTTCTTTTCCAAGTCCCCATTTAATAGGTTTTCCGTTGGCCATAGGGACCTGATAAGATCATACCTTAGAGACCCATTTGCTACAGAATCATGTAGGGCTTTTCAGAGGATCAACTAAATATTTGGACACATCTCAGCGCAAGTAAATGGAGGCCTCCCTCCTCCAGGGGCTGCCCAGTCCACCCACTACCTCATTAGATGCAAAGATCCTGTGATAAAGAGAAACTTTTTTTCTGCCCACATGATTGCAGCCCAGTTGTGGTTTTTAATGTGTCGTTGATTGTTTCATCCAACTCCTTTTGCTCCCCTGAAAGGGTCTGTCGTGGCTCTGTTTGCTTCCTTAAACACGGTTTTTGAAAGCGCTCACGCTGTGTGAGCTCAAATCCTAGCATTAATGCACTGCTGAGTTCATTTCACCACACTCAAAAGCTCTGAGTTTAAATCCCTCTCAATTCCATTTGAGGCACCAGAAGACTTTATCCTCCTCTACTAATGGTTCCAAGTTTACATCTAGATACTAGGGTTCAAGGACAGGAGAGGATTTAGAAATAACAGCCCCTGATATTAGTCAATGCATTTGCCAAATTGGCAATTAGTTCCTGATGTGCGTGCAAAGCATTTTACTCCTGTCTCTTTGATGCCTGTTCCCATAGAGAAGGGAACAGAGTCCACGGAGGCCTTCGAACTTTTAAAGCAATATCTGCTGAAAATCATGCCTGATTTGTGACATGAACTCCGCCACAGGGAAGCATCCGGGATTAGCCCAGTTCTTTCAGTCCCAGGAAAGAACGCCTCACATGGGAAGTTTTTCCACTGGAGGAACTTAGTGGAAATCAAAAGGCAGAAAAGCAGTACAAAAAACCCCACAGGGACCAGAATCAGATGCACTCTAAGTGATAGGCCCATGGCCAGGGATAGGCAGCAACGCCCAGTTGTTTTTTGGTATGCTTGCTTTTTCAACTTTTGACCACCAGGTGGAAGCAAGAAATAACCAGGGTGGAATGAGTCCTG